ACGGCCATTGTCCACATCCATGCTAGTGACTCAGATGGTAAAGAACAGCAAAAGGGTGCAAAGCCTCCCTGCATTCAAGTTGAGCGATGCTTCTTCTTGCTTTCACAGTCGATGTGTCACAAAATAATCTTGCATCCGCAAGGTTTTCTCCAAGCTGTGATAAAGAAAACGAAATGAAATGAATGCGAATGAAAAGTGAGTATATATAAATACCCACATACACATGATCTACTCTTCTTCAACAGGTTTCTTTGAGAGTCGACTGCCCACGCCTCAATCATCTCTTCGCCCACGGCGCCTGTGGCGCCAACTACAGCAACCTGACCCACAACTTACGCACCTCTGACGAAAAAGCATCAGCAGTGGTCCTTCAAGTATCTAATTCTCAGGACTCTCAAACAAAAACTGAGATCTTATTTGGTTTCCTTTCGATCAAGTTTCTGGCTTTCACCATGGCGCGGTGTGGGGTCCTAACCTGTGAGGCTGCAGTGGCTCCAGCGTGCTTCCTGTGAACTTTCCGTTGAGTCAGTCAAAGGCGCCAGCAATCCCAGTACAGTAGCTGTAAAGTGTAGATGCGCTACTTACTGATCAGAAAGCTTTGCCAGAAACTCAAGTGACTATGGGCTTGTGTTTCAAATCGACGTGGGAACGTCATTGCCATCTGTCATCGAAACCGCACATCCTCTCGCTTGCCACTCTTGATTTTGCAATCATGCCCGAATGTGAAGTCTTATATACTGGAACATGGTGGCTGCGTCACTTTGGGCTCAAGGCAAAAGGTGTTGGCCTCTTTAGGGGGACCCCAAGGGGACCACGTTGGCACAAGAGGCGGCCGATGCGACGCCTCTTGCTTTCGTGTCAAGTGACGCAGACTACCCTGCTGTTGTGAGAATTACACCCACAAAGGAGCCAATTTGGTCCTCGAAGCATTGGTCGTTGTTGGTCATTGGATCGGACTTAAGGCATTTGAGGCATTTGCTCAGGGTGTACGCCTAATCTCCAGCAGGACAGGCGGTGAAGTCAAACACCTTGTGGAAAACGCAGAGCGTTAAAAAAGTCTGAAGAGCGTGGATTCAGCTGCATTCCTTACGTCGAGCACAAATTGGGAACCAAAAGCTCTCCTCGCTATTAGTTCTACCTCTATTTGATGTGGCTTGAATGTAGGTAGGAAGTGCTCCACGTAGCTGTAGAGACTCCACAGCTTGCAAAAACACCAGGTCTGCAATTCTGGATAGGAAGGACGGAAGGACCAAATACATCTTTCATGCGAACTGAAGTTTACATTGGTTTTGGGGGGGGTCATTGACTCATTGACCCACTAAGTCGTCCTTGATAGGAAATGCACTCAGCTGTTTGGTTTTCTTTTGAGAAATCAAACCTGGAAAAACAGCAATGCTATCGTTGGCGAGTTCGTCGGCTCGGTCTTTACTTCCACTGAAGGAAGACAAGGAGTGAGCGCTTGTTTGCACAGTCTCAGTTTAACAGTATATGTGGAACCAGTGGGACGTGCGATTGGATCCCAATCCAATTAAAGGTAACGTACTTGATAAATCTGTGCACCTAGTGCCTTGTCGCCAAACATGATATCCCCTTGTCTGGAACGGACCCCTTTCTCAGGTCTATCATGTCTGTGTTTCTTCATTATGTAGTAGATGTTTCACAGGTGTCATTTTCTTGTGTTTCTAGTCTCAGCCGATGTGTGGCTTCTTGCCAAGACCGAGGCATGGCCAATGGGCCGGGGCTCTCAAGGGCTCTTCGGCCAACATGCGAAGGGGACGAAGAAGTGAAGTCTTTGTGAATCCAACCTACTAGCGATGGCCTCCTCAAGGCGGATCAGACTTACCAAAGACTTCACTTCACCTCACTTGGCCGCCCAATGTGCACATCTTTGTGGAAAACTTTACATCGAACTTAGAGCTGAAGGACCTTGAAGGACCTTGGTCGGTTCCAACTCTGCAAATCTCATCAAATCTCACATTGCTCTTTGAGACTTTTCCTGTGTGTTTATTCTTTTTTTGGCCGCTCCTACTTACTTAAATAGACGCCTACTTAGTCAAATAAGAGAGTACACACTTTAGGAAGCTCCTAGCTAGGACGCAGGATAGCTCACGCTTCACTAATGATTTGGTTTCTAGATTTTGAGGGAAACTTGACCTTTAGACCTTTCTTTACTGTTCTTTATATATATATATACTGTATACCTTTAGACCTGTTTGTTATTGATGTCCTTGCTTCTTCTTTCCCAGCAAGGCAAGCAGACAACCTCACTGAGATCTGTACGTTATCCCTCAATAAAAGCCACTGAAATTACAGCACCATCATGGCCTCCGAGAGAGCCCAGGAACAAAACTACGCCTCTCTATGGTGTCAAGAGCTGGAAGATTGCTGCTTCAAAAGAGATGAAATGATGTATTATGTAGCAATGTAGACTTGTGCGTTCTTCAGGTCAGACCTACCTCTTGGCTGAACTCAGAATTCATACAACTAAGGTCCGTCGCCAGGTGAAACTTCTTTGTTTCCCCACTTCGCTCCCACTGTGCCTTCTAATGTCTTCAGACACTTCCCCGTAACGCTCCAAAGTCGGACAGTGCCGTCATAGGATGCGGAGCCAATGATAGTACCTATCCATCCAAGTCTCTCACAAATCTACTTAGTCACTTATTCTGCCAGTTGGCTTGTGTTCAATGTGACAATATTCGTTCAAAAACCGCATAAGCCTATCCTCTCTGTGACTTTGTTGAGAGCTCGCTTCAAAATATGATCATCCTTCATTCATGGACAGGTTTTTCAAAAAAACTACAGCTCTTCCATGCCCTTCCAAACAAACTTGTCAAACATTGAACCATCAAAACCTTCCCATCTGCTTGGACACCATCAGGAGAGAAGGCTGCCGATCGGACCTGAATCATTTTTGAAGCGAAGTGAACGAAGGGGAAGCGAAAAGGAAAGCAAGCTTCCTTGGGAATCGTTTCACTGGGAATCGTTCCACCTGTAGTAACAAGAAGCTTTTTAGGTCTTTGAAGCTTCTTAGTAATAAAGCTTTCTATATAGTAACAAAGAATGAAAGAAATCATCACGAGTTGCCCAGCACCACCTGTGAGGTCCCCGCCCAGTCCTCGTGGCCAGAGAGTGTGAGGACCTGGTCTTTTCGCAAGTTTGAGCTTGGACAAACAACAAGTTTGCACATTTGCACATGTCTTTTCTCTGCAAAGTCATCCAACTGGTTGTAGTTGCTGCATAGTATCGTATCAGTGTCTATGCAAATAACCATGATCAAGATTTGAAGCTTAAACTTCCCAACCATAAGGTGTTTTTTTCTGGGAATCCAGCACACTCACCATTCTCAGCCTTGGGTAGGTACTTGATGAAAGCGCAACAAATTGAGGGCAACGTCTTGCTTGTGCTTTGAAACGTTGAGACTTGCGAGCCGAGGTTTGGGCGTCAAAAATACGAAGGCTCTCACTCGCTGATGCTAGCAAAACCTGTGCATTGTCCGAGCTCAGAATGCAGAGTGCCACATCCTGGAGCTTGCCTTCTGCCCATCTGGAGAGAAAACGGCATCATTCACTACCTGCCAGGTGCCATGCAGTGAAATAGAGAAAACCATTGCACGTTGCGGAGGAAGCTGTGAAAACGCCACTTGAAACGGACAAACTGCAGCTTTGAGGCTACCTTGCCGGTCCAGTAGGGATTCAAAATCCTCTTTAAGATCCTTGTGGAACACTACCCTTACACCCAAAGGCACAAGTGCTGATGTTGCTGTCAGGTCACACTTTGGTGTGTGTGTGTGTGTTGTGATGGGTTGGGAACGGTCAGCCAGTCAGGCTCTGCATAATGACATTCGCAGCATGTTGGTTGCACAGGCTGTAATACGATGCGGTGTGGGATGCGAGTATACGAAGGTCTGTGTGAAGTACTGACATCAAACAGCTCTTTAATTGAAGCTATCTGGTCACCTGCCTTGCCGTCTCCAGGAATGACTAAGTGACACGAACCGCTGACCTGGACAAGGAGGTTGACTACACATGTATCATTTGACGCTGTCCAATGTTCCAAAATTGGGGTGCTGGGATTGCTCAGGTATTTTCAAAAAAAAAAATACTAAGATCTATAAATCTATTTCTATGTCAAAATACGTCAAACAACCGATGTCACCAGGTCTTTGTCGAATCAAAGTCTCGGCACCCAGGCCACTTCCCAAAGCCGTGCGGTGCCGTCGTACGCTGAAGAGGTCAGGATTCGGGCACCATCCTCAGTGGGCAATGCGGCAAGGCAATGCGGCAATGCTTCCAAATGGAACCTTCTTCCATCGTGTCGGAAAGTGTGTGACGTACACTGGGGTGCCGAAAGTTGCGCTTCTGGCTCTTTAAAACATCACAAACCCTTCCCCTTAGAATCCTACGCGTAACATGTCGACACCTAAGTTGCGGTCAGGTTTCCACACCTTAAAGCCTTATAAGTATTATAAATTCAAACGGGTGTGGAAATCTGACCGTGCAGTACCTGCCACGCAAAATGGACGTGTTAATCCGATCCGCTGTAGACCGCAAGTGTCATGTTGGAACAGAGTAAGAAGCGTAAACTTTAGGGTTCTTGAAGTATGTTAGAGATCTGACAAGGCTTGTCATCCCCGCACATCTAAGTCGCCGGACCGGTGCAAACTTCACAGAGCTAATTGCTTTTGTATGACCTGGAAGGGAGTCTCTTCCGAGAAAAATAGACGATGGAACTTGAGGTCAAAATCACATCAAATTGCTGTACCAGGTGACGCTTTTATTTTCAGCGATCAAAAAAGCAGCAATGTCCGCTCAAGATGCAGAGTACTTAGCTGCTGCTTCTGAAGCTCGTAGCATGTTCATGCTGCGAGAACACAAGAGGTTTGGCAAAATACCCTTGAGCTGGGCCGGTTTTTGCACAGCAAAATTGGTTTGATCATGTTTGCATGGCGACACAAGTGACAAAAGTATTGATGAATATGTGATGAATCATGATCAATCAAATTATGAACCAGCCGGGGCAGATGTTCCGCTGATCGAGTTGAACTCCGCAGGTTCCACACGACGGGAAGAAAAACAGCACCAGCGCTGTACTTTCAGCGCGTTTGTGCTCGAAAGGCGAGATGGGCGTCGAGCAACGCATCCTTCTTCTCTAAAAATGTCTGATAGCGTTTCTTGCCTCTGCAAAACTTTCAAGAAATGTCTGGCATGCTCTGCAGCGGCACGTTGAGTGCTGATAGAATCACATATCAATTCGCAGAAACTATTGGAATCTATCACTGTCAAATGTGAGACGTCTTCTGCAACTAGATCTCCCATGTAAATCCAATTTGTCCACAGGCAGGCCTCTGCCAGCCATGTTGTCCGGTCAATAGAATCCTTGAAAGCAAAACATGAATACCAGCAACATACACAAAACCATTGCGGCAACACGAGAATACATTGCATCTCACCGCACTGCGCACCATTGCATCATCATTACATTAGAGCGCACCACAGCAAATTATGAGTTGTGCATCCAACATCGGTCGTACAGGCCATTACCACCAAGTCTGCAAGGTATCCGAATGATCAAAGCTGCACATTTGCATCTTTCAATCAAATACTGCTTGGCCAGGCCTTCATCTCCACCATCACCAACCCGGGATCCAGGACCGATGAAGAGGGTCAAGGATGGATTCGGAACTATGATTCGGAAACCTGGATTCGGAAACCACATCCTGATTCGGAAACCAACCCTAAATTCTCACTAGGAGTCAAACTAGTTCTACCAATAGTTCTTGTGCACAACCCGGTCTGTAGAGTTTAGCGGATCAAACAACAACAAAAATAGAAGTGCCAAGAGCGTCATTACCCCCCGAACCCACACCACTTTCAGGTTGCACTGAAGTGCTGTTGCTGAGACGAATTTCGGACAACAGCTTCCAAATCATGGTTTCGAAATCGCGGTTTCTGAATCCTAGTTGCCAGCAGTTTCTGAAGCTTAGCTTCTGAATTGTGGTTTCTGAATTCCGTAGTTTCTGAATTGGAATTGTTCCAGGAAGAATGGGCATTGGAGGTCCTTCAAAGCAAAATGAGTCGTGTCGACAAGCAAGCGGAAGCACCGGTGCTGCAGCTCGTATCACTACTGAAAGCATTTAGTGAAAGCCGTCCTATTCAAAGGACAAAACCGGCCCGCTGTGGGGCCAAACCGCACCGAGCGGCTCTTTCCTCTGGCCGCGCTCGAGCCCCCACCCTACGGGCAAAAAGGGGCATGTTCATGAACCGGGTGATTGCATCACCCAAACTCCTTCTGGCCCTTTTTGGCCTTCAGTTGAAAGGAGGGTATTCTGGCACCGGCTGATCGGCGTCCCATGGCCAATTAAATTTCTCGGCCAGTCCCCTCAATTTCTCTACAAACAAATTCTGGGCCTCTCTCAGCCGCTGCTCCATGATCTTCTTGTGCACCTTGCGCCCCGCTTCGAACTTGTCGTCATGGGTCAGGCGCCAGTGCTGTCTCTGGCTCAGGAACTGCAGGATGGTTTTCCTGGCTCCGCTCTTGGTGAGCGAATCGCCCAGTTGGGCCAATCCATTCACCCACCTTAGCTCTGTTCCGGCCTTCAAGGCCTGATTGACAGCAAGGGTAAGTTCATACCCGGCTCTGCTGTCGCGAAGACCATGCAAAGCAGACAAGTTGCGAGTCATCGCATCATAGATTCCTCTCGAATCCATGACCAGAGCTCCTGGAACTCGCCTCACAGTGCTGTGAAGCTCTGCCCTCTTCATCTCCAGGCCGCCGAACTCGGCCATCATGGCTCTGATCTGGTAGTTCTGGTCCTCCCCGATCGTGATGCTTTGCGCCTCGGCTCCATTGGAGCCTAGGCACTGCCGTGGCTTCTTGCCGCTCTTCCATTGCACCACTGCCACCTGGGTTTCTGCTCCACCAAGTGCCTCCTTCACCGTGATGCCGGTGATGATGCCCACTGTGCTGGACTTGTCCGGCCTGTTGCGCTGGCTTGCATCTGCCCATGTGATGGCGCACAGGTAAGTGATGTCCTTGAACTGCCATCCAGTCGGGAAGATGAGCCCTTGCCCAGCCTCGCGGCGCATCTCGCGGACCAGCTTGTTGACTTTGTGCAGAGACTCAATGGTCCCTTTGTTGACTTCGCTCAACAGCAAGGATGTCTCTGCTAGGAACTGGGGTGCCGATTGCGTTGATCGCCATGAAATAGTTCCCAGTGCCGCCCTCATTGAAGAAGTCTCAGCAGGAGTCAGAGGTGTCTTCATCGCTTTGCTCTTGTCCACCTCAATTTCTTCAATCCACCTGAGCGTGTAGCTCTCCTGATTCAGGATGATTGAGCCGTCGTCATTCTGCTTGATCGTTGACCCAGCGAACTCAAAGTCGTTGGTGTTCCAACGTCCCCATCGAAAAGCTTCGTTGAGCATCTTCTCTCGGGTCACAAAGAACTGCGAAGTCTCGTCTCCAGCTAGTAGGAAGTCGTCCACGTGAAGTCCTGCCAGACCCACCAGCTTGGGAGGTTGCCCATTGCCACCAGTTTCGGGCTCGTAGAGAGCGAAGCAGCACTTGTCGCCAAGAAGTTGATGCCATTGTCCATCCTTCATGGTCTGCACACAGCGCTCCCACCATTTCCTCGGAGCATGGGCGAGCCCATAGAAGGCTTCTCGTACTCGGAGAACACGTTGGTCACCAGCCTCCGAGCCGAACATGGCGCTTAGCTCTGGCGGCGCCAGGACATTCAACTCTTCATCCTCTAAGCTGATGCCTGTCTGCAAAAAGGCACTCGTCACGTCCCCCGCCTTGAGCTTGAACTTGTAGGCGGCGGCGAGAGTGAGGATCACGTGGCGACCGACCTTGGACATAGTTGGAGACGTGGTGGCCACCTCAGTCAAATTATGCGCCATAAAGCCAAGTACCAGGACCACCAAGCGCGCCTTGGCAGTTCCGTCACTCTTTCGAGTGAGCACCCAGCGCATCTTCATCAGCTGCTCTGGCCTCACTGTTGGATTGGTGGTGTTTGATCGGATGGTGTCTGGTGTGGGAGTGGAGGCTGAACTGGTGGTGAAGTGTTGATGGTTTGCGGAGGTGGTGGCGGGGGCAGTGGGTGGGGTGGAGGCTGTGTGACTGGAGGAAAAGCCGAATAGGGTTGCCAAACGCCCTGAGGGATGGCGTACTGTGGGTCTGTGGATGGATGATTGGCGATCGCGGTCTGTTGCTGTGTTGGAGGGGGATGTGTCAGTGTAGTGGGGGGAGGAGGTTCCGCTGGTGGCGCGGGATGAAGGGTTGGCAACAGGTATGAAGGGGGAGGTGCTGCTGACGGAAAAACTGGAGTTGGATGTGTGGGCTGCGGTGGCACGTGGCATGGTTGCACATAAGTCCAAGTGGATGGTGTGCTGTAGGTCAGTGCAGTGGCTGTAGGATTGGATAAGAAAGGTGGTGGTTGAAATGGTGGTGGTTGTGGGTGAGGGTATGCCGGTGGATGTGCCGTGGGATAGGTGGGTGTAAGTGATGGCTGTGGTAGCGGCCATGTGGGTTGAGATTGTGTGGCAGGTAATGGTGGTGGCGTGGCATGAGCGTATGGCCACGGAAAATGCATGTTGTGCTCGTAGCTATGGCGCGGCACGGCGCGGAAGCAAGAGGCAGCGGAAAAGTGCCTAGTTGTGTTGTCGTGTTGTTGCTGAAAGTCTCATCTCTGTTGTCGATGGAGAGTATGTTGTAAGGTGGTGCTGGATGTGAGCATGTTGGTAGGTGTGTGTTCATGCATCGCGAATTAGAATGAAGAGCTCTGATGCCCATCCTTGAGTTCAGTCTATGAAAGAATCACGGCATCAAAGTGGCAAAACGTAGAAACACGCACATGACTTGAAGAAATGAAATGAAAAGACGGATTCGAAATCTGAAAGTTGAAATCCGATGTATTCTTCAGGAACCGTTTTTTGGCCCGGCGGCCGGTATGTCAGTTGATTCGGTGAGGGTGTCGGTGCCTTCCTGTGAGAGTCCAGTGAGTGGTGGCGCGTTGGGGTGGTTGCTTTCCCATGCAAGATCAGCGCCCCTGTGACGGGGATCACACTCAGCACCCGAGTGGGACGGCTGAGCAAGACACACTCTGACACTTGTAGTCCGTTAACTCAATTTCACGATGGGAAGGAAGGCGATGGAACGGAAAGGTGCATGGGTCCGCAACAAAGTATTGTTGAACATCCTGTTGAAATGCACTCGCAAGCGGTCAGCGCGCGGCAGCTGGAAGCGGCAGAGGGAAATGGTTTGTGGGAAGTATCATGAACCACCGTGGAATCAAACAAAGGAGATTGGAACAGCGTGGGCAAAAGTTCAAAAAATCGCACCTGAAGTTCCTCCTTCTTGGTCAGGTTCCTCAAGGCTCTGCTGATGGCCACCTGGGAGAGCTCCTTCGCCATTGCCAGGTCGAACTCTTTCTTCTCGCTCAGTGGGAGCTTCTCCCATTGAATCTCCTTGCCCTTCTCGGACATCTTCTTTGACAGCCAGATTGCTCCCCGTCGGCGGTCTTTGTTCTTCGCCAGCCATTTGAAGTCCTCCTCATTGACCTCGAGGTTGAAGACGAGGAAGGTGTCCTCAGGTTCAGGAGGTTTCTTCTTTGGCCTTGCCGCCGGAGGTTTCTCGTTCTCCTTCATCACCATGAGCTCCTCTTCACCTGACGTCATGTCTTCTGGTTCCGAGATCGAAGAGGTAGAAGATGATGAGGTGTCCTCTATTGGAATCTCAGCTCCTGTAGGTGCTCGTCGTCCTTCATAGAGGTCATACATGAAGGTTCTTCCATCCCGATCCTGATGGTGTCCGGGATGTCCACCATGAAGGTCACATTCAGGAACTGGGCACCGATTGGCGCCTGACTCGCCTCGCACGGGCATGCTGTCCACCATCTCTGGTCCTTTCTCACAGAGAGCTTTCTGGAGTGCCGTAGTCGATGACGATGAGGGTCCGCCAGGTTCTGGTGGATCATCTCCTTGTTCTCGTGGCTCATCAGGTTTGTCATCAGGCTCTCCATCTTCTGCTTTTCTCTTCTCTCCCTTCTCTCTTCTCACACACGCCTTCTTCGCAGGAGCAATGTTGACAAGTTCGAACCAGGTCTCGCCTTTCCAGCGATCTTGAAGTGTGCGAGTTTCGTCCACAGTGTCATGAAGTGTAACCTCATCTCCTCCATGAAGGGGTCGGACGATCGTCTTCCTGGCTCCCTGCAACTCTTCCAGGCTTACCGGACATTGAGCTACCCGTGAAGGACTGAACAATGCAAGACGAGGAAGTTCGTGGCGTCGAATCAGATATCTCCTGCCCTCGTGCCACTTCACGCTCCAAGAGTCCTTTCCGGCTTCTCGCGCTGGCTCCACCAAAGGTGTTGATGCAG